CCGAAGCTCTCCGGTTCCCTTTCCTACTAACCACGCTTAGCAAGGAATCTTTGTATTAACGGCAAGAACTCCAAACCACAGTTTGTCCTTCTGTCTGATGCACGAAGACGACATCAGTCTTCAAGGCACGAGTTTCTGTGTTTGGGATTGGGGTTTAGCTCATGTTTTTCTACACCAGTCTGGTGTAGTGGTTAAGAGCGGTGGACTGTAATCTGGGAGAACCGGGTTTGATTCCCCACTCCTCCACATGCAGCCAGCTGGGTGACCTTGGGCCAGTCACAAGTTCTCTCAGAGCTGTTCTCTCAAGAGCGATTCTCCCAGAGCTCTCTCAGCCCCACCTACCTCACAGGGAAGGGAAGGAAGTTGCAAGCCACTCTGAGACTCTGAGTGAAGGGTGGGGTATAAATCCATCCTCCTCCTACTTCTTCAAAAGGGTTGAAAACCCACCTTTTGTGTGTCAAGGAACTGATGCAGAAAAACAGTCAAGTTTCTTATCAAGCCATGAACCTTCTAGAGCAGATTATAGCTGAATTAAAAAGCACAAGCAGTGCAATCCTAAACAGAGTTCCACCCTTCTAAATCCTTTGACATGAATGGGCTTAGAAAGGCATAAGTATGCATAGGACTGCATGGTAAGATGTTTGCTCGGCACGACCCAAGGCAAACAGAAAGTGCCCCATAAATCTGCTTTACAATTCCATTCCCTGTAAATGGATGTTGTTATAAAAGGGAAAGGGAAATTGTTCCCAGAGGGTTAAGACATTTGAAATTTACTGCAAGCCAGGACATTCTCTGGAATATCTCCATCAGAAGGAATGACAGATATGCATCTCATAAGAGCAGAAGGCCAGTGGCCCCTCCAGTCCAACACTCTGTGTCACACAGTGGCCAGAAATACCAGTGCCATCAGGAGGTCCAGCAGTGGGGCCAGGGCACTAGAAGCCCTCCCACTGTTGACCCCCCCCCAAGCACCAAGAAGACAGAGCATCCCTTGCCCCAGCGCCCCTACCTATATCTTGTGGCTAATAGCCACTGATGGACCTCTGCTCCATATGTTGATCCAATTCCCTCTTGAAGCCGTCCCTGCTTGTAGCCGCCACCATCTCCTGTGCCAGTGAATTCCATGTGTTAATCACTCTTTGGGTGAAGAAGGACTTCCTTTTATCCGTTCTAACCCGACCGCTCAGCAATTTCATGGAGTGCCCACGAGTTCTTGTATTGTGCGAAAGGGAGAAAAGTACCTCTTTCTCTACCTGCTCTATCCCACGCATAATCTTATAAACCTCGATCCTGTCACCCCTCAGCCGTCGTTCCTCCAAACTCCTGGGATGACAACTGATCTGTAGGTGACAGAGATCAGTTCCCCTGGAGAAAATGGCAGCTTTGTAAGGTGGATTCTATGGCATTGTACCCCACTGAATCCCTTCCCCCTCCCTGAACCACGCCATCCTCAGGAGCCGCCCACAAAATCTCCAGGCATTTCCCAGCCTGCGGACTGGAAAACAAACCCTAAGAGGAGAAGTTGAAGCAACTGGGTGTGGTTAGACTGGAGAAGAGAAGCCAGAGGGGACCCAGGATCTGGTTGTTTAGATGCTGTGGGGCTGCCCCATAGAAGAGGGCAGAGACATCTTCATTTCTCTGCTACTCCAGAGGGCAAGACTGGATTTACGGGCCTGACGTCACAGTTGCTGCGAAGTCGCCGTCGAAGTGTCACGGTGCGAAAATTTCTCCCCAAGTTCAACTGAAAATTCCATCTTTATCACCATTGTATCAAGAAGTCTCTTTTGCAAAGACATACAGAAAGATTAACGCCCAGGGAAGGCATACGTGGCAACATACGCATCAACAGCACTCTGTAAAATTTGGAGCTGACACTGGGATGAGCAGAGAATTCCTACTGTACTGCTTCAAAAGCAGGGACTCGGGCAGAGAAGTGAACATTCCCGAATCCAGGGAGCCATTTGGCTGAGGAAAATCTCAGAGGCCAACCCCCAGACCGGTGCAGGGATTCCAAAGCGAGATCAACCCTCAAACAAAAAAACCTTATTAGCAGGCCTCAGAGGCAGGCTGGGTTGGGATATGAGCTCATACTCAAATGCAAGAATCGTGTCTTAAACCAACAAACCTCTCACGAAGGTCCAGCTTTTCAAACCACGCTGGGATACACTGACCGGCTCCCTTTAGATTCTGGGCCTGTTTTGGTTTTTTTTGCTGACGTCTGACAACCCTGCAGAGTTTTCAAGGCAAGAGACGAGCAGAGGCGGTTTGCCATTGCCTACTTCTGCGGAGCTACCCTGAAACATACGAACATAAGAGAAGCCAACGTTGGATCAGGCCAGTGGCCCATCCAGTCCAACACTCTGGGTCACACAGTGGCCAAAAATACCAGGCCATCAGGAGGTCCACCAGTGGGGCCAGGACACTAGAAGCCCTCCCACTCTTGCCCCCCCCAGGCACCAAGAATACCTGCCCCAGATCACTTGCCCCAGATCGAGAGTTCCTATAAGAACATAAGAGAAGCCAATGTTGGATCAGGCCAATGGCCCCTCCAGTCCAACACTCTGGGTCACACAGCGGCCAAAAATACCAGGGGCCATCAGGAGGTCCACCAGTGGGGCCAGGACACTAGGAGCCCTCCCACTGTTGCCCCCCCCCAAGCACCAAGAATACAGAGCATCCTTTGCCCCAGACCAAGAGTTCCTATAAGAACATAAGAGAAGCCAATGTTGGATCAGGCCAATGGCCCATCCAGTCCAACACTCTGTGTCACACAGTGGCCAAAAATACCAGGGGCCATCAGGAGGTCCACCAGTGGGACCAGAACTCCAGAAGCCCTCCCCTTGTGCCCATGGCCTCCCAGCACCAAGAAGACAGAGCATCACTGTCCCAGACAGAGTGTTCCATCTATACCTTGTGGCTAACAGCCGGTGGTGGACCTCTCTCTCCTGGACCACACTCAGGAGAACTTCCCAAGAGATTGGTGTCCTGAGATTCTATGGGTACACAGAGCTTGCGCCCATTCTATAGCCGCTTAGACGACACTTCTGCTGAGTGCTGAAGTTCCGCGAGAACAACAAAGGCCTCACTTCTGTAAACGTACGCAGAAGGACCTCTCTCGCTTCCGACTGCGGGTGGGGGAAGATCACAGTTTAAATACTCCTATGTTAGGGAGAGAAATCCCTTCATATGTAGAAGTAACAGAGGCGGGG